AGATAAGGGCATTGAGTACCCGTTACATAATAAGGCCTAGCTATTTTGTAGGCTTTGTTTCGTTCCCTAGTGTAAAATGTTGTCACATGGTTTAATTTCATGTTTATGACACGAAACAAATAAAAAATGAATAATCTCATAAACTGTCACGGTTTACATTAGGCCTTATTACTAACCCATAGGCCTTATTACTAACCCATAGGTTATTGTACCCATAGGTTATTATACCCTACAAGTATTTGAGCTGTAGTCAGGATGGGCCTTATAAGAGCAAGGCTTGAATAAGGCCTTTATGAAATTTATTTTTTTTACATTTTGATTTGTTACTTTTGTTTGAATTTAGAATAATTTGTGTAATTGTGTTCCACTGAACCTATAATTTCGTTTTTATCTTGTGTTTTTCTGTGAAATTTGGTAGTTAAGTCTAATTAAGATTATTTTACTTGTTTTTGTTGAAATTGTGAAGCGATTAATAAATGACACTTAAGTACGGAAAAGAATAAACGTGATTGATACAAAAATATATGATTATTTGCATTCAACACCAGTAAAATTAAATATTAAGTTTGTAGGCCTTATTTGATAAGCGTGATTTATTAAGGCCAAAACTAACAGTTTTGTATTTTGATTGTTTGAAAGATTTAAACTAAGACAATGAGTGTCATTCTTTAGTATGTTGTAGAAAACTCAACAATGGTTGGTATTGACTGGTGCCAGACAATATTTACGTATGCGTTACAGAAATATGGAAGTTTTAATTAAGGTAGGCCTTATTTGTCGGCAGTACCTTATTTTGTGTCTTTTTAACAACTGTGAACTTTGTAAATTTTTATTACTTTTGTGTCTTCTGGCTTATAAAGTTGACGATCCCTGCACTAGTTTATTCTATTGTTATGTAGCGAATATTAATCAATGATCGAATTCATTGGAGTGATGCACTGGATTAATTGGTGTACTAAGGAATAGAAATTAGAATGAATATGCTTGATTAGTATTTATTGATTAGCGTTTAAGGATATCGTAAATTATTATCAACATATTAATCTTATTCTGTTATATCCATTATATATGTTTACATCGTAATTTAAAATTTACTCATAACGTACCATCACCATCAGCCGTTCCTGCGTTGCGCGCACCGATACGCAAGCGCGCGCATGCGTAATAGCCACCTAGGATATTTTATGGTGCGCCGCGCATTTTCTCACTTTCGTTTGACTACATTTTATCAACTTTATATTTTCTTTACAAATTTGCGTTACTATGCAATATTATTAAAGTAAAGCTCATAAATAAAATCGCAATTTCATTTAAATAGATTTCTATTTACAGGACTACTAATTTTTATACTTAAATATTTTAATGGTTCTTTGGCTGCAGCGGCAAGCTACAATAAACAAATTCTTTGCTTAAGTTTTCTATATTTGGGTATGTATTAGATTATTATTGTAACATATTTACTTAAGTAATTGTTATCTTATTATATATATATCGTATATTTATTAATTCTTTGTTTTTCTTTATTTTTATTTCCAGAAGGGAAGAGGAAAACATTTGGAAAGACAAACACTTTGTGTAATTTGAAATTTGTGTTTGGTAATTTAGATTGCTATTTCGTATGACTGTTCCTTTGTAACAGAATTTCAACAAATTCTTTTCATTTTGTTGGAAACGAAAGTTATTCCAACAAGCGAGGCTTGAGCAATAACCATTTGGTACCTATATGTTAGACGGAAGATCCTTGACGATATTTTTAACTAGTATCACAGGAAAAAAAAATTACATCCAATTGCATGTATATGCGTTTACCATGGAACCTACCTTATACATTTTCTTTTATTAATTTCTACGAGAGCTAAAGAAAAGATTTTCCACGACTATAGCTTTACCTCTGAGCATATTTTAAGTTGAGTTTTCTTATTGATAATTATTAACAATGTAATTAATTTAATACCTAAGCTCAGATATTTTTTTGATATGTTTGCAAGTAAAATCTTTCTTTTATTTTAAAATAAAAAATCCGTTCAAACGTTCGCCGGGCCAGGGAGCAGTGTGATAGTTGGCTCATTGGCAGATTAAATATCGAGTACCTACAGTATTAAGCAAGTAAATCCAAAATGCAGTCGAGATTTGTGTGGGTTATTAATATTAACCGTTGATTATATTAATATCTTATTAATATATAAACATCTTTTATTTTTAAGGCATTTTGTCGCTTCTAATGGTTTTTTTTGTATTTTAGTTACTGCACAGAGTTTACTACCGTGCCTGGTACTGATAACTTAGTTGAGAACTTTCGGTCTCTAGCTACTCAATTCCTCCTATAACAACCTCCTGCGCATAAGCAAAAGATTATAGGTTTGATATTGTATTGGGCACCTAATATAGTTTAATTTTTTGAGTATGTTACAGTATGATCCATTTGTCAGTATTTTGATTAAATTTTTTTTTAATAAATCATTTTCGTTTCGTTTTATCATTCTTCGAGTAAAGTAAGCTTTACTGCTCCAAAATACAGTGTCGAATGCAATGCTGTGACAGCATTAGAGGTTCAAACCTTTATTACCTTTTGATTAAATCGTCTTCTTTATCTTTTTTTATGATAAAAAATATCATTATTTAACTCATAATAAATATATTTCGATATCCAAAATAATCCGAATTGAATAGCGGTAGGGTTGACGCAATTACAGCTCAAAGGCGAATCTCTACGGGACCAGCAACATTCGGTGTAATGATGATATAATGGTTGTACAAACAGCGCGGGGTGAGGGAGCGGAGGTAAATACTCGTCATGCGATGGGGTGACCACCAAATTATATATTAAGAAAAGTCTTGATTTTCAATATATACTCATATTATAAAGAGATAAAGTTTCTAACTTTATTTGTAAAAAATACCCTACAAATAATTGTAATGATAATCTTCGGAAATGAGCTATAAATTTACGCAGGCGAAGTCGCAGCAAAAAGCTAGTATTTAAGTATAATCATTAATAAGGACTTGTTGTTAAACCGATTTTATATTATAATTTAACGAGTATATTTTACGCCGGTCTCGTGGAATCGCTGTTATCTGAGCGGAACGTTTTCTACATAATATATTATTATCTCGAGTCTCTATGCTTGTGATGAATTTGAGAGTAGGAATGCCAGTTTATAGTACAATATGGCCTGAGCCTGCAGTGGCGACGTAACAGGACTGATGAATGAAAATGAAATGAATGAGAAGAATATCACGCCCTTTTTATGCTTTGCTATGTTGTTATTATTATTGTTACAAACGTCTCATACTTTATTCAAAAACTGTAATATAATATGAGAGTTTTAAAAATGCTGTGCGAAATTTAGGTAAAAACAATACTATGAAAATATACAATTCGCCTTCGATATTTTTTATATCAACGAAATTAAAAGTTGTTTGTTAAAGTTATCCGAAGTTCACTAAACACTTGGTATCCCTACACCGTAGAGTAGCACGGATGGATGTAATAGTTCATCCGATAATAGCTGGATTAACACGGTACAACCCTTTGTGGGCAGATTGAAAAACTTCACCAAAACATTTGCAAGCTCACATTATTTATTCGTGTATGCCCTAGACACATTTAATATTCGCAAAGCGAATGCTTTAAAATGGCACCGTTTTGTTAAGAATATACATGAAATGTTTTTCGACAAATAATACGCTATCAGTTTCGAAATAATATGATTTTTGTAGGATTTAAAAATAAACATCACGGCAAAATATTTACAAGACATTATGCAAGAAAAAATCCGATGATAATAATAATAAACGTTAGTATATATTTGAAGAAATCTTTATCCAGATATAGACGAGAAAACGATTGTTGTAGATTTATTTAACGAATTCAAAAATTTCAGCTCTCAAAAAGAAAGAGGTTCTCAATTCGTCTAAAGATAAATACAATTTTGTGATTGATGTAAATATTTTAAATTCCTTTTATATTTGATAGGATATTGAATTTTTGTTTTGTATCAAAAAAATTATCTAAGTAATTAAATGTGTAGTTATGTCATTAATGTAGACGGTAGATGCCTAAGTAATTTGAAATTAGGTGAAATTTGAATAGGTTTGTAATCTCTTCTCTTCTGCATAACACAGCATATCCGAGATAACTATTATTGGCATATATGCCTATCCATTAAGAAATGCTTTATGTGTAAATAAGTAATATTATAATATCACACAATAAAAGAAACTCCACTGACTAAATACTTCATACAATACTGATATAATGTCTCTTAATACCTATAGTATCGTATTTCTTCGTTTAAGTTCATTGAAGGTTGAATTTAGCTTTGATCATCAATATATTTCAATAATACGCGTATGTATATTGTCTTTTTGTATTAGAGTCATCTTTGAGAACAAAACATTCAGTACAACCCTTGACGTCAGCTGGTTATCGCAACTGGAAGAGCGCATAACTCAATGAAATATTCACATCACACGTTTGTAAACCCTCCGCTTCATACTAACAAGCACTTTCACCGTTCGATTCTGTCAATTTATATTTGCCTGCAATCATTAATGCAGGCGTCTGTCGGCGCGGTCTGTTTTTGTGAAGAGTACTATACAAATTATGCAGGAATGCCTCGTCCCGCGGAGCGACCGGTCCACAGGGCGACAAAGGGGCAGCCGCAAGCGTCTCCCGGGCTTAATTATATCGATCTCAGTGCGCTACTAAACTAGCCGAATAAATAGGTGTCAAGAGCAATGCGTCAGTGGGCCCGCCGGGGGTGCAGACGTGCCGCGTAACCGGAGCCACTCGCCTCATAATGCTACATAATTCAATTGATTCCCCGACACTATCCGCACGCTTCTTTCTAACTTAGTTTGGAGCGTTTTGATATCGGATACGTCGTTTTGACGCCTCCTTGCGCAATTCTTTCCCCACCGTTAGAAAAATAAAAGGCAGAAATGTGTTTAAGTGATTTATGTTTAACAAAATAAATAACGTTTATGGCACTTAAGATCTAGTGTTGATATGAAAAGTCGGGAGAGGAATAAGTGACGTGACCTAGTGGTGCGGTGTAGGCCACTCTGGGTGCCTGAGCATAAGCGACGGGGGCAGCAGCATAAGCTGTAGGGGCTGAACTAGCATATGCTACAGGCGCAGGATTGGCGTACGCTACTTTAGAGACGGGAGCTTGAGCATATGCTACGGGAGCGTAGTTCGTAGCGGGCGCGTTGTAAGTTACTTTTGCAACTGGTGCCGGAGCGTATGCTACTTTGGTGACTGGAGCTTGATACTCGACAGGGACTGGGACAGGAGCGTACGCGGCTTGAGCTTGAGGTGCGTATGCAACCTGAGCTGGGGCAGCGTAGGCGAGTTTCGCGTGGGTAGCATGAGGTTGTCCCTCATAGCGCACGACAGCGTTGAAACCGTGCTCCTTATCAGCTGTGTACTCAACGATACGCTGAGTACCGTCAGGCTGTATCAGCGAGTAGAAGCCGTGGACCGCATCACCGTTGCGGTTCTCCTTCTGCTGTTTGACGTCACCGCTGTGGTCATCTTGCACGGAGTACGAGTATTCGTACTGCGCGGGGACCTCGGGCTCAGCATACGCATAATTAGTTACCGGCACTGGAATGGCAACAGATGCCGCTGCCGCCACGAAACAGAGAAAGAGCGCTACCTGAAACGTAAAATAAAGAAATTAAGCAAACTTTCGTCGCCCTTTATCACTGTCAAATGAAACGCAGTTTCTATCACCTTGATCTTGTGAATTAAAAGAAGAAATTTAGTAGAGTACTTTATTTTAAAAAAATATATACGTATTTATTTAATGAACTCACGTTTAGTACCATGTTGATATGATTGTATATTGCACTCTAGTGTGCCCTAACCAGGTGGAACGATGCTTTTATACCGCGTCAGAATAAGCAACGTTAGAGGCGATAAAAAACTGGCTCATGTTATGTAACTCATTGAAGAGCTACTAGTTACTCATCGAATAATAATCTACTAGTCATATTATTAACTAAGGCCAATATTATTAATTTGTCTCAAACACAAGCCTTATAAATAATATCTAACTGTAAAATGTGTTAGCTACTTATCATTCCACACAATTCAATGTGTCATGAGGTATTTTATATATTTACACATCGTCTTGACGATAAAATATGCTGGTCTAAAATTGTAAAACTACCTTGTAACAATATTTTCGCAAATAAATATTATTATTATTTCATTATTCTTAAACTACTAAGTCCATTGAATAGTAGTTGGTAAACGTAATAATATTAAACCTTAAAAAGAACAAGTGTACAACATGAAATAAACCTGAATCGAAATGGCATTTAAATAAACAAAAATTGCTAAAATCCAAATCATTTGAATCATTGTGAACAAATAAATAAAAAAAAAGTAGATAACCTCAAGTGGCAGTGGGCAGGGCACATCGCTCGCAGGACTGACGGCCGTTGGGGCGGTAAGGTCCTGGAGTGGCACCGCGTACCGGGAGACGCAGTGTTGGCAGGCCCCCCACAAGGTGGACCGACGATCTGGTGAAGGTTGCGGGAAGCCACTGGATGCAGGAACCGCAGGACCGATCGTTTTGGAGATCTTTGGGGGAGGCCTATGCCCAGCAGTGGGCGTCTCTCGGCTGAAGTGATGATGGTGATGATGAAATAAGTAAAGTTCAAATTATGTATGAAATTCATAATGTGAAAATAATATAACAATTTCTAAGAGTATTTGGGCAATAGAGTGACATTCTTATATATAAAAAAAAATTGCAAATTACCTCTACCATTCAACTGAATTCAAATTTTCTATCTATCAAGCTCAAGGCCCTTTGTTTCAGGAACACGTGGAGATATCAAGTTGAAATTCAAATTATATATTAACCTTGAAGCAGTGAAAAAATTAAACTACTAAATCATTATAAAAGCTACACCACAAAAAATACATATTTCGTCACTCTCAAGGGAATCAAAAACGATGGTCACAAGTAACAACGTTCTATAGTACAAATTTATGGAAAAATCTGAAAACTGTACATTTGTCTTTGTCAAAAAATACGAGTATGTTTTAAAATACGTTTAAGTTTACAGTGATTCGAAATTTAAAATTGAAGCTGAACTAGTTCAAGTGATGTGTCATATGAAGGGTGATTTTTTTTATGTTAGTACGAATTCAGTTCCTTCAGTGCGCTAGCCGACACGCTCTTGTTAAGTTGTCAATTTTATGCTAAACTTCCAATAAGTGCGAGTTACTGTAAAACCTAAGTACTGATATAATATTAATGAATAAATTACATTTGACTCGTTATGAGGAAGGTTTTATTTTGATTCTGAGCTGAATGCTGTGATACAACTGTTTTTGTTTCATTTTGTCTATAATTTATTCGTTTCATTAAAATCGGATTAATATGTTTTATATTATCCCAAATCAATAAGATAATATTTATACGGAACCAATGAATCTGATTCATAATTAAGAGTAGTTTGTAAATATTTTCATGTTTTCATACGCAATATACAATATATTAAATAAATTTATATTTCTACGAGTATAAATAAAAATGAATCGCCAAATGTGTTGCTAAGCGCAAAACTTTGAGACCCACTGAACCGCTTTGGCAGATTTCGTTTCGTTGTAGTTGATAAAGTCTGAGGAATGTTCTTATGGAGAGAAAAAAGTTCAAAAATAGTAAAACAACAATTTTCATTAATCATCATCATTAATGTCACCCAAAGCAAAACAATAAATTAAATGTATAGAGAAATAGCGTAGAACAGCAGACCTGCTAGGACAGTTAGTTCATAATAATAATTATGAAACGCCAAACACTTTCACATTAAAAGAAAAAACAAACAATAAACAGACAAACACGAAATGTAGAGCAGTATAACAAAAAAAAACAATACTAAACTAGACGTGTAATACAATGTAACGATATTTGTATTTGTCAGTCCATCTATTGATGCCGATATAATATGTAATCATGAGAAGTCGCATTATTTATTACAAATTGATGATTCATTTTTTTTCTTTTGTTTTTAAAGAAGGGTTATTTAGAAAACTAACAGAAAAGATTTATATTTAAGAATAATTAGGGAAATATTAGAAATATCGAAAATTAAGTGATTTTTCCTCTGTAGTTTATGAGAACCAAAACTTCTGTCGATTTCTGATATAATTTTCGGCAATATTATGTAAGTATTAAAACAGGGAATTTTGGAAAAATGAGAGTCATAGGCACTGCAATAGGAGGTCTATTCTGTTATAGCTACCTATACATAGTATTAAACGCTGATATTTAAAACCTCACAACGGATTTTAATGCAGTTTTCATTAATATACAGTGGCAAGTTTATTTAATATATAATACAGGACCACGTGAGTGAATCCGGTAGCGGTAATCTAACGATATAATAAAGGTGATAAAATTTTAAAGTTCCCTGAGTTGGTAATCGACTCCTTAATTTTAGAAAAAGAAAGTATTAATAAATAAAAAAATATTTTACGCTATAAATAAACTGATGTTTCGGCAAAAGCAAAAGTTCTGGTTCATTAAGATAATTTTAGAATCATCTCAAAGTATACGTTATATTTTTATTAGCGAAAAGAGCTCAATCTATTGCAACTAAATATTTTGGTAGATATCAAAGATTTTGTAAGTGATCCAGAACTTTTGATCACCCATATGAGCTTAATGACATTTTCATTCAATAAAAAATTGTATTTTTGTACAATTAATGAGGGTAAAATTTTTGTCTAATCTATTAATACTAATGCTGAGTTATACTGCATATCTTCTAGGGTTCTGTTTAATTTATAAGAGTACACTGCCAAAATAAACCCGTTAGTGTAACAAGTTATCACGTAATAGAATGCAATACAAATGTGTACACGGCCGTGCGTGTATTATAATTGCGAACAATTATCGGTGTAACACAACTACTTCCTATGAGGAAGGATTATGTTCGTATAATTTCCGATTACTGATAAGTTTACTTTAAGCAAATAATATAGTTAGTGTAATTTCGGAACCCTTTAACTATAAAAATTGATGATTATAATAAAGCAACAGATGTTATTTGTCTGAAAATCTTCCAGCTGGTTAGAGTAGTTGTTCAGTTTACAAAAGGTTGCGGGTTTCGCTTCTTATCTCAGTTAGCTGTCTTATTTTTAATAATAAATAAATCGTTTTCAACGATAATAATTTGCCATGCCTAAGGAGTAAGTAGTATGTGTACTATAACCAATAACCTTCAACGACCGCAGTTTAGTGCCTTCATGTCACAATTTCCTTAATTTGTCACATATTTCCCACGTTGTGCGTGTGCCTTTGGAAAATGCCCACACTTAAGACCGGTTTTTCATAATATGACTAATTAATCGTTATTGCTTATAAATATCGCTCCAGTTTTAAATTGCTAAACCATTTACATAATCCAAATAAGTTTGATGCAAACGCCTATATTACTAGTCGGTAATTTAAAGTGTAATAATTACTCACATGAAGTAGTATCCGACTACTCTTATGCTGATATAGTAGTGTCCATACTAGGGTTGCCAATAATAACATATAGTATTGTACTATATATAACATATAGTATTGTACTAAATATAATATATGGTATTGTACTATATTTTGAGCCTGTGTACTACTTACATAAATGGTGGAAAATATATAGAATGAAAAATACTTTATTTACAACACCAAAATCTAACAAATAAATTTTTCGTTTATGAAGGTCCCTAATTCATTAATTTTTGATTCAGCTTATGCAAACATTCTTAATTCTGTTAAAAGCTGATAAGTATCTTTCTTCGTGTTAAAAAAACACGCTCTGAACGAGTACGGGGTCGAAAAAATTAAATGGTTGAAAACTGACATAAAAGAAAATATTCTTAATTAAAAAGATTATAAAATCCACTGTGTCCCTGGCACTCTGAGATGGGACTCGAAACCATAATCTATCGCAATCCGGGCGACTGCTCTAACCACTAAGCTACCCAAAACCTAACAGGACTGACGAATTTTTCAAGCACTTGTTACTTTTTTCGCTACTACAGAGCGTATTTTCATCAATATCCAGGCAATACACCCAAAGAGCCGAAAGAAATATTTTTACAAATATTCAAAAATTTGTTCTAATTATTATATGTGATCAATCTCGCATTCACAATGCTATACCGAAAAACATTCTTAATAAAAATGCTTCAAAAATCCACTTTGTCCCTGGTACTATGAGATTGAACTCGAACCTGTTTCGAAACAGATTGATCAAATCTAATAAATAAAAATTAATTTTGTTTTTAACGTTTACACACGTTAAAAACGCATACGCATTTTATTAGTTAATCGAACATTAACTAATAAAATGCGTGGAATTTGATATTTTTTTTAAGTGTAATTTAATTTAAGCTTATTATTAAATATTATAAATCCCTGAAGAAATGTTGGCAACCCTAGTCCACATACAAGGTTAGCTTTGCGATACAAAACTCACTTACTGTTCCGTCAGTTTCGCGTACGGTATTCATCTGTAAAAAATTATGTGGCTACAATGAAAATGAATAACAAAATACAACCAATAACTGGAGATTACTTTAGTATGGCTCGGTTTAAACAAAAACTACATTTGTACATGCAGCTTAAAATTTATATTTTTTTAAATTGAAACATGTACATAGTTACTTTGAAAAGCCTGTAAAATTTTATAATCGTTCAATTCGATTAGGTCCTGCTGATAGTTATAAAAACACTGTATAATTTATTGATATAGAAGGTAAATAATATCAGCTCTAATACTTCATAAGTTTATTTTTCATTGCTTACAGCTAATGATGG